AAAAAGGCTTAAGAGAGCTGACTGAATGAATGGTCTTAGAACTCTAAGAAACATCTAACGGGGGGAAAAAAGATGCTAAAACAGGCCCATAGAACTGAAATGGCTTATCCATGGTCACGCAGCTAATTAGTTCTGACTACATCCCCCTGGTTTCTAGGTAAAAACTTCCCAAAATGTGAGAGCTGAAACATTCTAAAAACCATTTTGCTGAGGCAGCAAACTGAAGACAGAAGAGGAAAAGTAACTAGCCCAAGGTCAAAAAGCAGCATAGCGGAACCCGAACCAGAGCCCTAATCTAAAGCTTTTCCCATATTATACAAAGCAAAGTGTGACTTGAAATTTTAGAGTTCTTAAAGAATGGGTGGTGGAATATCAAGATTAGACGGGACTGAAACGTTTTTTTCAGCCAGCTGACGCATGAATTCGCCCCTATGACGTCCCCTCAGATCCATGCTATCCTTCAACATCTTTTCCAAGGCAGCCTGTTTCTCTTTGGATGCCTGGGACTTGATGGCACATGACGAATATTCACGAGATCCAGATTCTTCAGTGAAGATGCCATGACTTCCGATTTTTCCTTGTAAAACGAGGATACTTAGAGCCAAATATGTTCTCTTCTGTATATTTCCCTCCCCTCATTTTAGTTGTTTGGTTCAAAACATCAGTTCCACTGGCTGGAACATTTGGTCAGTGAGGTCAAGGTCATGAGCTCCATCCTTGTGGGGGCAATTCACTGTGCCTTGATTTCTGGCTCCAGACTTTGGTGATCTCATGAAGGCCTGGGAGTAGGTCAGTGTAAAGCCATCAGCATGTCTGAAAAAGTTGCTGTAAGCATAAACCCAGTGGGTAATAGACGAGAAACAGCATCCTCCCATGAAGGGAGCAACAAAGGAAAGGGAGTTCACGGCAACCACACCTGTTGCCCAATTTTAAAATATAATTCTTAAGTCAATTAACAGACAATTATTTGTTTTTATCATTTTTAAAATATTTCCTGACAGCAGGCAAAGAAGATTGAATCACTAGAATAGTACTAAACATGGTTAAACCACTGGTTTGAAAAACTCTTGCTTCCTTATTTGGCTCTGCCCCGATCTGTGAATGAGGTTGAGTGAATCCCTTCATTCTTTCTCTTCCTCCCTCCTTCCCTTTACCTTGCCTCCTTTCTTCTTCCAAAAATATTTACTGAGCATATACTATGTGCAAGGCATTTTTCTCAACACTGGAGATACAGTGGTGTGCCAAGTAGATAGTGTCCCCCCTGCTTACAGTTTGTGGAGCTTCGTTTGTATACTAAGAGTGAGTTCTACTGCTTTTTTTTTTTTTTAAACATCACTAAATAAGGGATAGATGAGATCACATAATGTGTTAAAGCATTTTAAACTGAGGTGAAGAAGATGCCAGTACATTTAAGGTGGACTGTCCTTCTGATTATCCAGTGCATAGTTTCTTCTGGGGAGGCTCCTTTTTTGTTTGGGTTTTTCCTCCCTGGTTTACTAGGTTTTGGTCGCATCTGTTTACTATTTGTTTTTTAACAAAGACTCAGAGAGGGTATCATGTAGGAGCCACCAGGCTAGGTATACAGTCTCGAATGAGACACTAACAGTCACCGCCTTCATGGAGTTTACAAGAATAAATAGTATGACAGTAGACGATCTAGCCCTAATTAGCTCTGAAAAGAGGTATGTAAGGAGGGCAATTGACACTCATGAAAAAATGGGGATTAGCAGTTACTTGCAGATTAATTTTACCTGTTCTTTCCAAGTCTTTACCCTCCTCCAAGTCCCCTAGCTGAGAAAGTGAGTAGATACATATTATCATGTCCACTGTCACTAAATTTCTCGTGTAATCTCACTGTAAGCATATCTTGAGAAATGCTATCTCCAGATTGGGAAATCAATGCAAAACACCCACTGTCATCCTCATGTTAATATTTATCCTTTTCCATTGTACTTTCAGAAACAGACATAAACTTCCTACTCAAACAAGCACTTACAATTGTTGGAACTCTACCATTTACTTACATGTTAGAAAAGTGGAGATGGATGGTCTTTAAGGGTGAAATTCCCAAAGAGCAGTGGATGCAGAAATGGTGGGAGATGAAGTAAGTCAATGAATATGCAATCAGCAAAATGTTTTGTCTCATGAGTTTGCCACTTATCTAAAGGCATTTTCCTGGCCTGAAGGCACGTGTGCGCACACACACACGCACGCACATGCGCGCGCATGCTTGAACACACGTGCATGCACACCCTGCCTCCTTTTTATTTTTTAAGTCTCTTTTGGATGCTTTCTCCTCAGATAACATTTCCTTGGCTCTCCCTTCCCCCAAGCAGGATCTGATGACACAACTTCTCATGGTTTATCTTCTTAAGTGCTGGGTCACCCATAAAACTGTAATATCTTAGACAAAGCACTGGAGATCCAATGCTGGCCATTTCAGATGTTTTCCTTGACTTTAAAGGACTTTCAGTCTGTGGGGGGATGTGAAAAATGAAGCCATGGCAACGTGGTCTATTGTGATGGGGGTGTATAGGGATCCACGAGCATCCAGCGCAAGATCCAAAGCCATATCTGGTGGGTCACATGTGGAGAGGCCTCCAGATTGAGCTCTGAGAAAGAGGTGACCGGTAACCAGGTGTTTGTAGAGGGAAACAGAGAGAATTCCAGGCTAGTGAGAGGCTGGCACTTTTGGGCAACAGACCGTGATCCCTTTCAATAGTTCTTCATGCCTGGGACACATAGGTATGAAATAAATGGGTCTGGGATGAAAGAATTACAAAAGAAGACAGGAAGGAAGGAAGAAAGGAAAGGAGGGAGGGAGGGAAGGAGAAGAAGAGTCTTCTCCCCTCCCTCTATTAGACTCCTGTCAATTTTGCTTGTTTTTCTTATTTTCCTTTTTGTGGTGAAGATCTACCTATATAACATTTAGCCCCATGTCCATGAATTTAAGTCAGTGCCACTGTTCTGCCAAGATTCTCTGTTGACATAAATTCTACTTGGGAGGAAGGAGCAGCAAAAATAACCATTTCTAGCATTTGAGTATTACTGAATTTGTCTCTAATGACCCCACAGTCAGAAAGGACAAATGTTTTAAGTTTAAATAATGCCAAATACTTGGTTTCCCTAGTTTTTTTTTCTGGTTGAATTCGTTTTTGATCCCTTTAAAGGTTTATTTTGAAAGTTAAATGGTACCAGACCCTTAAAATAATTCGCTATGCATTAATCAGTCCATTAGTTCACCAAACATACATGGAGTCTTTGCATCCATAAAGGTAACTGAGACAGCCCTGCTTCTAGGAGCTCCAGTCTCCAGGGCCAAGAAGAAGCTGTGTATGAATACTTGTAAAACAGAGAGAGAAATGCCAAAGGAGCATGGCTAGAGAAGGCTAAGGGAGCTGAAGGGGTTCCCTGTGCTGGCAGGTGGGTGGGGTCAGGAGCAGGCCTCACAGAGGAGGGGGCACTCCAGCTAGCTTTGAAGAATAAGATGTCAATGTTACAAAATTCTGTCTGCCAGGAACATGTGAAATGTGGCACTGAAGAGGGATTATTAAGATTTTCACAGTACATTTTTGGCCATGCGATACACTTTATTAAATTAGTGTTTTGAAGATACAGCTGTTTTCCAGTGATATATTCTGGATGAATTAAAAAAGGAAGAGATAACCGTATAAGGGCTCTATTCTGTAATTTTTTATACTGTTTCTATTTCACGTGACAACTAATTCCATTATAAATGCCATTGGCTGACAAAACCACGCTAACTTCATCTCACCGTACCTTCCCCTGATAAGGGCCCCATGGCTAACATATCTGCTTTTTCTCCCCAAAGGCGAGATATAGTCGGGGTGGTGGAACCCTTGCCCCATGATGAGACATACTGTGACCCTGCTGCTCTGTTCCATGTTGCTAACGATTACTCATTCATCAGGTAACTGACAGGTTTCTTCTCACTGTTTAACTTCCACGGTTGTGGACAGCTGTGCTAATGGCAAAGAAATAGGGATCTATGAAGTAATGACTGAAATTTCTCTTTCTACCCTCCTTCCCCCTAGAACCTCAAAACAGATCATCAGTTTTAACTCAGTTTTAACTCAACACGATTTATTGGGTCCAGTAAAACTTACATGAGATCTTTTCTCCACCACGAAGGAATTTTTAGTATCCCTAGGGGAAATAAAATGATCTTTGTCTTCTTGTTACTGGCAGTGTTCAGAGTGATGGTAATAGAGTATTTTTAATTGGTAGTCCAAAAACCTATGTTCTTCACCCGTTAGCCCCACATTTTGAACTTGCTGAACCTCAGTTTCTTTAGTTGGAAGATGGGAATAACATCGTGGGCCTCCCATAAGGATCACTCGGCATTATTTATATGATGGGCCATAAATACGTAAAACACAATACAAATGTGAACTAACATTTAACAAAGTACATACCACATTTTTTAAAAATTTTTTATTTTTTCAGCGTAACGGTATTCATTATTTTTGCACCACACCCAGTGCTCCATGCAATCCGTGCCCTCTACAGTACCCACCACCTGGATCCCCCAACCTCCCACCCCCTGCCCCTTCAAAACCCTCAGATTGTTTTTCAGAGTCCATAGTCTCTCATGGTTCACCTCCCCTTCCAATTTCCCTCAACGCCCTTCTCCTCTCCATCTCCTCTTGTCCTCCATGCTATTTGTTATGCTCCACAAATAAGTGAAACCATATGATAATTGACTCTCTCTGCTTGACTTATTTCACTCAGCATAATCTCTTCCAGTCCCGTCCATGTTGCCACAAAAGTTGGGTATTCATCCTTTCTGATGGAGGCATAATACTCCATAGTGAGTAATACCACCTTTTTAATCAGCTGATACATAAATACAAGTAGGCTATGATGTGTCTGCAGGATTCATTTTGGGGTCTTTCTGGAGAAAGAGGTTGGATTAATATCTCTTTGGGACTAGAGCCTTAGAATTTAAACTTACGCCCCAGTCTATGAGTCTAGCACAGTGACTAAACACGGCACTGCTCTCTTGTTCATCTGCTTTACAGATATTACACAAGGACCATTTACCAATTCCAGTTTCAAGAAGCCCTTTGTCAAATAGCTAAACATGAAGGTCCCCTATACAAATGTGACATCTCCAATTCCCGTGAAGCTGGGCAGAAGCTGCAGTAAGAAACACTTCAAGGGGCACCTGGGTGGCACAGTTGGTCGAGCGTCCAACTCTTGGTTTTGGCTCGGGTTGTGATCTTGTGGTGGTGGGGTCGAGCCCCGCATCGGGCTCCATGTTCAGCAGAGAATCTGCTTGAAGATTCTCTTTCCCTCTGCCTCTCTTCCCACTTGTTTTCTCCCTCTCTCTCAGTTAAATAGGTGAATCTTTAAAAAAAAAAAGAAATATTTCAAAATATTGAACCTCTCCTGCTACCCAATATTACCAATATTTCCATGCCTAGATTTGAATTTGATTTCCTTGTTTTAAAAAGAAAAATTTTGAACTCAGAATGTCCTCATCTGCAAATTAAATGTTTATTTTATGGTCACACAGGAACCTAGACCATGCGATGGCTGGACAGTCTATCTCCTCTCCATGTCATAACTACAGGGCTCCCTCTCTAGTCATTAGAAGGAAAGAGATTGATGGATGAATACATCCATTAACCCGCCTGATTTTCTTATCAGCCAGGAGCAAGCTTAGCTAAGCCAAAAAGGAGAAACCATAGATCATAGTGTAAATATGTGTACATCTGGAATTCCTCAAAAGGCCCTAAACCCACCCTCCCCTTTTTGCATGTAGCGAAATGCTAAGCCTTGGAAGATCAAAACCCTGGACCTTTGCCTTGGAACGTGTTGTAGGAGCAAAGACTATGGATGTAAGACCACTGCTCAACTACTTCGAGCCCTTGTTTACCTGGCTGAAAGAGCAAAACAGGAATTCTTTTGTGGGTTGGAACACTGACTGGAGTCCATGTGAGTACTCTGAGTTGACACATTTCAAATGACTCCCTTTCTGCTTCCCTTAGTCCCCTCTGGCCCATCTCATGGGGCTATGACACAGCCGAGTATGTTTTCCCTCTATGTAGACCCTGCTTCTGACTGTGCTATGGTGGCAGCTGCCATTTTATTGGGGGAGGAAACGCATTTGTTGAGCACCTACTACGTATCAGGCATGATGAAAACTACACACACATACACACACACACACACACACATTTTCTCTCTCTCTTTCAACTCTGCTTTATCAGCCCCATATTTAAAATAAAAGAGTATAAAACTCCCCAACCCACTGCATTCGAATCCCGCTCTTCAAAGACAAATGCTTTTTAAATCAATTTTAATGCTATTACCTCCTCTTTCTGGCAGTCACTTTCATATCTCTGAACATTATGTTTATATAATTTCTTTATTGGTCAGTTTTAGGCATGCACTCCTGCCTCCTCTTCCACTTTCCTTTCTCATCTCAATAAAGTTTTAATATTTTTATAAGAAATTATCAGTATTTGTATCATAATGCCTATAGAGCCAAGTAATATACTGTTTTAAAGCCTTTCCTATGTGGCTCTTTGTTTGTCCTGGAGTTTCTACTGCCTTGTTTTTTTAATATCTAATTTGCTATCAATGTTGCATTTATCTTTTCCAGGTATTCCAACGTATCTATTCTTTTCAGTCTCATTTTTTCCTGAAGGCTTCCCTCTTAGAGTCCTGCGTTCTTCTGTCTCAGTCTGACCACAGTTTTCGTCCTGAGTCATCCATCCTTTTGCTGGTTTCCTGGGTTGAATCCATTGCTTCCTGAATTCCAGACCTTCTTTCTTGGATCACCTCACCCCTTGTTCTGCTACAGCAGAGTTTCCAAGTGACTTTCTAAACAAGAGCATGTGGGGTAGGAGGGTTAACAGTGTCCCACGGGGCTTTAACCATATCTTAATTTTCATTCCCATTGTTTTCAGTCTGATCTCTTCTTCTTCTTCTTCTTCCCAAGCTGCTCCAGGACTCTCTGGGACTTTTGGGGTCTGTACTACCTCTGCATTCACTTTAGGCTGTGGCTTCCTGGCCCTTGAGAGAGCACTTACCACCACCACCGCCGCTGCCATTACTTCTCATTTTCCAAAACTATTTATACCTGTTAAAAAATTCCTTTACTATCACTTTGGTGGGATCTTGAGAGGGGAAGGAAGTAAAGGCACATGGTCGATCTGTCATCTGTCACCAACAGTCTCTGATTTCTCTTTAATCAGATGCTGACCAAAGCATTAAAGTGAGGATAAGCCTAAAATCAGCTCTTGGAAAAAAAGCAGTGAGTATTCTGGACAGTGTGTCTTTTTTTTAAAAGAAGTTTTTAAAAATAAGTTTTATTTATTTATTTATTTGAGAGAAAGCACATGCCGAGGGACAGAGGGAGAGGGAGAAGGAGAGAAGCAGACGCTCTGCTGAGCGTGGAGTCTGCCACTGGGGCTCGATCTCATGACCCTGAGATCATGACCTGAGCCGGATGCTTAATCTACTGAGCCACCCAAGCGCCCCCATCCTTTACTACTTAATGCACTCTCTTAAGTGGGACAAATAAGCCCATTTCAGTGTGTTCTAAAAGAAGACAGCCCACATGTTTCTCTTAAAAACGACAAGCTCCAGATTCTGCCTCTTGGGATTTTTTTTTTTTTTTTTAAGTAACACATTCCTTATTGGTTTGGTGATGTCTACTTTTTCCTTGTTACTTTTAAGGTGCTATGAAAATCAATGAAAAAACATCCAATCTTAAATATCAAGTGTCCACCCTTTTTTAAAATACATTTTTAAAAATTGTATGTATTTGAGAGCAAGAGAGCACAAGCCGGGGGAGTTGCAGAGGCGGAGGGAGAAGTGGGCTCCTCGCTGAGCAGGGAGCCCAGATGCGGGGCTCCATACCAGGACTCCAGGATCATGACCTGAGCTGAAGTCAGAAGCTTAATGGACTGAGCCCCCCAGGCGCCCCAAGTGTCCAACCTCATAATTCACTCTTATCACCATCACTTGTACTTGAGGAAGAGGACAAGGTTATATTTTGAGACACTGTTTAACAAGTAGTGTAGATAGTTTTGCTTTGTTTTATTTTAGTCAGTCATCCGTATCCTGGAAGCTTGTTAAAAATACAGAATCTTAGGCCCCAGCGCTGGACCTGCTCAGTCCAGATCTGCGTGTTCACCAGCCCCTGGCTGGCGCGTACACAGCAGACTGGGAAGCTCTGGTTTTGCAAACCTGGCTGCACCCTGGAGTCGTAGGGGATGTTGAAAAAAATATCACAGCCGAGTACCACTCCCAGAGAGTCTGACTTCACTTCTGAGGTGTAGCATCGAAAGTTGGGCATCAGGAGTTTTAAAAGCTCCCCGGGCGGGTGCCTGGGTGGCTCAGTTTGTTGGGCGACTGCCTTTGGCTCAAGGTCTGGAGTTGCGGGATTGAGTCCCGCATCGGGCTCCCAGCTCCATGGGGAGTCTGCTTCTCTCTCTGACCTTCTCCCCTCTCCTGCTCTCTCTCACTCTCTCGCTCTCAAATAAATTAAAAAAAAAAAAAAATCTTAAAAAAAAAAAGCTCCCCAGGTGATGCTAATTACAGCCAAAGCTGAGAACTACTGAGGACTTTGCATTTGAGGATAACCGAATGTTTCACTGCAAACCAGATTCCTCACACCTGCGTGTGAGCTCCTTGCAGCGGCTGTCGCTCTGCTGGACACCTGTCTCGGGCTAGCCAGGCTGAAGGGGTGGCGGCTTTGGGGAGAGGACAGGACAGAACAGCCCCAGGCAGATGGGGGACACAGGAGGCCGTGCGGGACGAGAGGACAGCCTGGGACCATTGAATAGAGTGGCCCAGGGTGCAATAGAAAATTGTGGTTTGCAGCAGATAGAGTCCAAGGTTACATTTCGACCCCCTTCCATTTTCTGCCCAGTTAAATATTGCCTACAGCTCCACCGCAGTCACAGCATCATTTGCCTAGCTGAGTAAGACAGCTAAATGTAGATAATGCAGTAGGAGTGAAAAGTGAACCTTTAAGAAAGAAATAATAAAAATGAAGGTGCAACCCTTCCCGAACTTGAAGAGTTCCAATTTCCAGTTCTCTACCATCATTGAATGTCTGTGGGATTATTTTTCTTAGCATCTTTATATTAGCTCTTCCTTGGCCTAATACATTTTAGTTCCTTTTCAGTTATATTGTTTTCTTGACGTTTGTCCCCAGGTTCTTTCTCTGCAGTGAGGGATTGGTAATGGTCTTCAGAGGGGTTGGTGGTGAGCTGCCCTGAGGCCCCTTAGCCGAGCAGGAGGCTGCTTTGCTGAGGCCGACCCATGCTTTAGCATTCCCCCGCCCCGCGGGCATCTGGCCCAGGTCCAGCTGTTGCATGGCCAAGTCCAACCCGATCTTTGGCATCGTTTTGTGAACTTAACCTTTGCCTTTTTTTAAAATATGGAAATAATAACCAGAACATCATAGTACCGATATTAGTAACATTATTAGTACTCAAAGCAGCTTTTTTGCCAAACCTGAGTGGTATCAAGCTAAGGTTGATGTAACACTACTGTGAAACCTTGTCATTGTTTTTTCTGAAAGGGAAAGGAGAGACGCAAAATTTGTGGCATTCATCTATCTCTGCTGCTGGCTGGTAGAGGAAAGAGCGAATGCTTTTTTTCTTTTTTAGCAAAGGTTCACAAACTATGCAAATACGCCAGCTGTGTGTTTAACACCTATAATCAAGAACAAATTACCTCGTGGACAGTTATTTTTTCCTTCAGAACTCACGTCTCTTTTTCTTTTACACTTGCGCATATCTGAGAACTTACCATAGACACAGTAAAAGCTCCGCATCTTTGTCTTCAATACGTGGACATTTGTTTTCTTTTTTAAACTTATTTTTTTCTTTCAACTATAATTAGCATGCAGTGTTATTTAGCTCCAGGTGTACAATACATGGACATTTTAACCAAAACCCATGACTCACATGACTCCCATCCATAAACCTGCCCTCAGGATGTTTATTTCAGCTCCTCTCAAACTGAAAAGGATCCATGAACATGATCCTTAAAGAGCAGGTGCATTAGCACACCTGAGGGCTTGTTAGATGTGCACGTCCTCGGGTCTCATCCTAGAAACTCAAGAGGGGAGGGCCCACTATTCAGTGGTTTAACCAGCCCCTCCAGGTGATGCTGGTGCCTGCACAGGGTTCTCTGGAGTATTAGAAAACGTAAAAGTAATGCTTCTGGAATATCAGGTTTTGAATGTATCCCATGATCCCTACTGAACAGTGTTTTTCTTTTGAATTTGCAGTACGAATGGAATGACAATGAAATGTACTTCTTCCGGTCGTCTATTGCATATGCCATGAGAGAGTATTTTTCAAAAGTCAAAATCCAAAGGATCCCTTTTGTGTGAGTTACTCCAACCATTACTTCTCTTTCTGTTGGGTCTGAGGAGATATTGTGCTTAAACTCTGACTCAAGTAAAATTAAGAAAAACCCAATGACTTTGAAACTTCTCTGATAGCCTGGAATTTGGGCCATTCTCTTTAGGGAGGACTGTGACTTACTCGACCTACAGATTGCAAGAGCATTGTTCTCTTTCCCCTTCTCCTCCCTCTCCTCTTTCCTTTTCCCTTTCCCTCCACCAAATGCTTCCTCCACCATCAGCACTGAGAGCAAAAGGCAGACATCTCTGCCTTCATTGAACTTGTGTTCTAATGTATGTTTCATGCGTGCGTTACAATCAGCAAAATATGTTAAGTGAAATATAGCACAATGAGACGGTGACAAGTTCAAGGGAGGAAAGAACCGCAGATGGGGGATGGGGGGCTTGGGAGTGCTGGTGTGTCTAGAGCTCAGCCTTAGCTGCAATGGTCAGAGGAGGCCTCACGAATCCTTGCACAAACATCTGAAGCAAGGAGAGCATCAGCAAAGTAGTCAACGGGGATGGTAGGTAGCAGGTGGAAAGATCCTAATGAATGAATATCCTGCACCTGTTGAAGGAACAACAAGGAGGCCAGTGCGGCTGGAGCAGTGAGCTCACAGAAGACAAGTGGGAGGTGTGGTCAGGGCAGCAGTGGGGTGTGGGGGTGGGAAGAGGAGAAGAACTTTCACGTGGGCCTTGCAAACTATTCCAAGGATGTTTGCTTTCTCCTGAGTGGGAAGGGCTGGGAGCCCCAGGATCTGCCTTACGTTTTGTCAGGATCCCTGTGGCAGCTGGGAGAGGCCAGTCTTGTCACGCTGTAGGTAAAGCCCACTCCTCCCCGCCCCCGGCTGTGGGTGTAATGTGGGGGGGGGGGTTGCAGCGTGGAGGAGGGGTGGGGGAGCCGAACTCACTGCCTCTGTTCGCGGTACTCAGCCCTTGCTGCTCGCCACGGTATGTATCACAATCCTGGGGCACCCGTGGTTCTTTGCCAGTTCTCCAGCGGCTTTCAATATGAAATTTTTGTATCATTGAAGGAAAATGGGGTCCATCTAGGGGGCTGAACAGATAGTACCAATAGTGTGTTATCCCAACATATGTCCTTAAGTTCATGTGCTTTGGGAAGTGTTAAGAATGTAGGGACAATCACATCCTTCCGTTGTTTGCCCCATTCCGTGTCTCTCGCCTTTACCCTGTGACTCTCCCCCCAACCTCCTTTTCACTGGCAGGGGGAGCCCCCATCCTCTTTGCTGTGTCCTCCATGCCACAAGGAAAGATGTTTCTTTTGCTTCTCTGCAGGTACGAAGACGTGAGGGTGAGCGATTTGAAACCCAGAATCTCCTTCAACTTCGTTGTCACTTCACCTGGGAATATGTCTGACATCATTCCCAGAGCTGTCGTTGAAGAAGCTATCAGGTGATTTTACTTTCAGACAAGCTCTCGGGGGGCGGGGGGTACCGAATGCAACCCCAACAAGCACTCATGGTTTAGTATGCTGTGTGTGCCGGGCACCGTTCTGAGTCCTTTTCAGCCTAAAGACTGGGGTTTTAATTCCAGAAGGATCTCGTAGCAAGGGACTTGCCTTGATTTGGGCTCCTCCGTACCGCAGGCCCTTAAACGGTATTTGTAGTTGATTTGGGAGACGATCTCAAGAAGCTTTGAGGAAGAAAAATGCACAGGGGCGGAGGGCGGAAGGAAGATAATAAATGACATGTTATCGAGCAAGGGACCACGGTGGGCAACTAGAGCTCCACCGTGCCGGGGAATTCTGGGAGACTGAGCAGATCATTCACCTGAATGGTCCCATCACCGCGGGGGGCACTTATCCACTGCCTCCCACCGGTCATTGGTTGAGAACTGCTTGCCGGTGGCGTGACTTCCCCGGCATTTCTGACCTGTAGGCTGGGCAGCCCCTCGGGGCCCAAGAACGCTCTCGGGTAAAGGCAGCAGGTACTGGCTGGAGGGAGTCTGGCTTGCACACCTGGAGAACGGTAGATAGAAGGGACGTGGACACATGTCGCCAGCATTTGCTGTAGGGACTTGGATGAAGGAATCATTTCAGTAACTGGAGTCAGAAGCGGGGTGGGCAAGAATAGGATCCCTTAGGCGTTGCTTGGCCTCCACACTAGGAGAGGGACTCGCTCTGGGCAGCGAGCATCTAGAAGCAATGATTGGCCCAAGGTTTCCCCAAACAGCAAGAGTGAAGAAAAGACAGAGGCAGGTGTTTTCCCTTGTCACTAAAGAAGGCTTAAGATACCTGCTGCTATGAGGGAGCCCACTAGGCGGCCCTCTTGAGCTGCTGTTCGTCTCTGGAAGCACATCCAGGACCTGCCAGGCAGAGTGAGCCTGGAAAGTCCGGCTTAGTTGGGGTGTGCAACCCACTTACAACCAGAGACCTCACCGCTGGCCCCCAAAGAGCTTGTTTCTGCCTTGGGGAAAAGCGCCAGCTGAGATCATCACGAAAGAGCCCAGGCCTGCTTGTGAGCAGCAGGGGATGGCAAATCCCCTGTTTCCAGAATGACTTGAGACACTTTCAGGCTGAGGTTACATGGTGAATTCTGCTCTGACGGATCTCCCTCTCTTCCTAACCTGCACTACACCCCAGGACAGGAGGATGGGCTGCAAGGCACCTGGGTTTTCAACTCAGAATATTCTCAATGTTCCTAGTTTGGGTTTTCAAAATCACATCCGTCCTTTTTTGCTCTCTAAAATTTAGCCATTTCCCATCCCAGTGCTGGAGAAATTGGCGAAGGTCCCTTTCTGTGGTCCTCCCCTGTCTCCAAAGGTCAATACCTTTTCTTTGGAAACTACAACCGTCAGGACTTGGGTATAGGACCCAGTCGATTTGTAGAAGAGATGTACCCAACTGCCCTTTTCTGTTATCTGATAAAAAGTCATTGTAGACCTACTCCGACAGAAGGGAGATTCTTGCCAAATACGCTAACTTTGCCCTTACAACACAGCACTCATGAACCAACAAACTCCAGCCTGTTGCGTGTTTCCACACTTGCAACCCAATTTTCCAAGGAAGCCGTTGCCAGACGTAATCTAGGCTACAAGATACAAAAGGGGCCGAATTGTCAAATCTTGAATCTTTCGTGGGACCTGGTTATTGACTTTGATTTCATTGCTATTTGAGGTGTACAGTCTTTTTTTTTTTTTTTAAAGATTTTGTTTGTTTATTCGACAGAGATCACAAGTAGGCAGAGAGGCAGACACACAGAGAGGAGGAAGCAGGCTCCCCGCCGAGCAGAGAGCCCGATGCGGGGCTTGATCCCAAGTCCCCGGGATCATGACCTGAGCCAAAGGCAGAGGCCTTAACCCACTGAGCCACCCAGGTGCCCCTGAGGTGTGCAGTCTTAAGCTAAACCTTATCAAATCCCTTCAGGAGCAATGGCATAGGAAGTAAATAATTACACACAATTCTGTTTTGCCTAAGTGTCTTGCTTTTGGGAATAGGAAGTCCCGGGGCCGTATCAATGATGCTTTCCGCCTGGATGACAACAGCCTGGAGTTTCTGGGGATTCAGCCAACACTGGAACCCCCTTACCAGCCACCTGTCACCATATGGCTGATCATGTTTGGGGTCGTGATGGGAGTGGTGCTGGTCGGCATTTTCCTGCTCATCTTCTCTGGGATCAGAAGTCGAAGGAAGTAAGTGCCCTTTCCTAGACTTACCTATCTTAAAACAGAAAGGTTTAGGGAAAACTAACTGGAAATTTTGCAGCAAGTGGTAGGTGTATAAGCCAATTACTTTTGGGGACCGTTTTGCACCTAAATATTCTGATGCATTCCCTAGACATTTCCCAGATTTCGTCAGCACTTTGCGTTCCTAGCAGGCGCCGGAGTGCAGTGTTCAGCCTGGGCTTCTGAGCGTGACCAGATGAACTCCATCCTGGCCACAGTGTCCTCTCCCTACTGCTGAGACGCCCCGCAAACTCGGGGACGGATGGGGGGCAGGCAGGCTCAGGGAGTTCTCATCACTCCTAGTCTTCCTTGGTCTAGAAGTGACCCCAGAGACTGACTCAGTGATGGTTGGCACTGTAAAATCGTTCTAGAATGAGCTCTGCGATTTGCTTCAAACTTCTACCCTTCCATCATCTTCATTCCCCCTCAGGTGGCCCAGGCTCCCTGTCATCCTCTTAGGTCATGGGTCACGATGCTCTCTCATTTGTTCTTGAGTGGAAGATCCAAGTTTGGTGAGGATTTAAATCACCAGAGACCTGATTAATAATCTTGTTCTACCACTAGATGGTTTTTCGGACCTTGAGAGATCACTGGCTTCCATGGGCCTATGTAATTAAGGTTAATACTATTTTATAGCTCCTAACAAAACTCAGCACACTGCAGGTTGCTTAAACGTGTTCATGATGGAATTTTGACATGCTCTTGTCTATTTTGCTCAATTCTTCACTATAGAGATTTATAGTTCCCTAAAATAACTTCAGTTAAGAAAATTAGGCATTTAATAGAATACATTCATATGGTTAGAATTTTAAAACTATGAAAGGATACCCCAAAATCTTCTTGCCACCCTTTGCCTCCAAGTTCCCTTCCCAAAGCCAAGGACAATTATCAGTTTCTCAGAGACCCTTCTGTTGTTGGAGGGTCTGCATTTTCACTAAGGCCATCTCCCTGGTGATTGGTATGCACATGACAGTTTGCGAAACATTTTTACTTTGCACACGAGCTACTATTCCAAAGTTAATTCATGAAATGAATTATTTGGGGGAACTTCCTTCATGCCACATGCTGTGTTAATAAAAGGCACACAGCAAAATCGGACCGGCTACCCTGCTCAGTACTTTGATGCATTAATATTTTCGGCAAGCATAGGATGTCAATACGCAATTATCTAATTATCTTCACGTACATATCAAACTGAGATTCAGAGAGACCAAGTCACTCTCTCAAATCGACGTGGCTCATCAGTAACAGACTGGGACCCACAGCCAGTTTGCAGGGCCGGTGCTTGTGCTACAAAGCTGTCCCACTCTGGTCTGGACACTTGGGAAGCTGACCGTGTAGCAGGGAGGCACTTGCAAAGGAGGCACTTGGCTTAACGACCACTTGGTTTCTAAAAGGAATCATCCAGTGTGGCACCTGGGTGGCTCAGTTGTTAAGTGTCTGCTTTCGGCTCAGGGCATGATCTCCAGGTCCTGGGATGGAGCCCCAGGTCGGGATCCCTGCTCAGCGGCGAGTCTGCTTCTCCCTCTGCCTCTGCCTCTCCCCCTGCTTGTGCTTTTTCTGTCCGACTCCGTATTTCTCTCAAATGAATAAATTTTTAAAGAATCTTTAAAAAAAAAAATGAAAAGAATCCTCCAAGCTGCTATTTGCGGAGGCTGCCCGCCCGTACAGTGAGGGCTCTGCCAGCACCATCTCTGGGACTTTGGCAGAACCGCCATCGTTTTCCAGACAGACTGAGGTACCGAGGTGCACCCTCTCTGACCCCAGAATACACACCCTAAGCAGTCTCCCATGCCCTGCCAGCCATCCTGCCAACTAGTCATGGGGCAAAAGGAGTGAATCCTGCTCTCTCGGGGTTCCCAGTCCGCCGGGAGGGGATGGTTCGCCAGCGAGCGATTCGGTGCTGAGGGGTCAGAGACACCCAGGCCAGTGGGGTCCAAGGAGGGCCGTGTCCCTCCGGCAGCGCTGCACTAAAGGTGACTTCACTTTATTCAACAGGAACAATCAAGCCAGAAGTGAAGAAAATCCTTACGCCTCTGTGGACTTGAGTAAAGGAGAAAATAATCCGGGATTCCAAAATGTTGATGATGTTCAGACGTCATTTTAGGAAAATCTGTTTGATTTCCTCTTGAGGTGATTTTCTTGCATGCAACTGTTAATTTTATGGTACAGACAATAGGAGATTATAAAGCTGTCATTAAATATCATAACTATGGCTCTGTTCAGGAAAAGTTGTCCCAAGAATACAAGCCTGAGGAGAGAGCATCTTCACTGGCTTTCAGTATTTATTTCTGCCTCATGATTTCACTTGTGTTCATGTTTGAGAGTAATGGAGAAAATGTGTCTCTGGCCTCACCAGCTGTTCAGGGGTAATGGAAGCGGAAATGTCTGTTGCCTGGCAACAGTGGAAAAGCGAAAAGGGGGATATATGGAGGGAGCAAGTGGGGCCTTGTGTGGAATCCGGATGGATCACTTTTAAGGACAGTGTCCGTGACATGGTGAACTGCAGGGAGCGAGAGCGGCACCTGCCGTCCGCTTCGCTCTAAGTCAAGTGTAAAGGATGGCCCGCCCTTTCGCGTTAAGCTCATCTATAGGGATTTGCCCACAGCGGTGATTGGACTGGGTCAGGCCTTCTTCAGGATGACAGGTCTGAAGAAGAGAGAAGAATCCGGAGAGCCGTTCACAGATGTTGCCTTTTCCCTTCCACCCGTACCTGATCACCATCTCCCTGACAACATGAGACCAGCCCCAGGGGCCTCCCGGAACCACCTTCCGCCAGAGCACACCTGACGGAAACTCACTACTGTTCTTCGCGGAGTGACTGGAAACCTCCACTTCATGTCCTCCTCGGAAGTGGGTTCCCAATCTCTTAAATCTTGTACTCAACCACGATGCCCGAGTAGTGCTGAGCGCAAAGCAGACCCCCAATAAACACTACATGCACGCTGCTACGGTCTCACGTGTACGTCGGGGCTGGGGCATCGGGGCGTTCTGTCTGCTTGTCACTTCCACGGCCAAAGTTGCTGTCTGACTGCCTGGGACCCTTGACCTCTCAAATGTCGTGGAATGTGTCCCAATTTCTTAAATTGCTTTAGCATACAAAGCAGCTGTAAGATGGGCCTAGAGAGGGCTTTTAAGATTGTTTACACCGCCAGGTTAGGAACCAAGTCTGACGCTCCTTTCGTAGATCTCAAAATCCAGCCTGGCTCTGAACACAGCATCACTACATACCTGAGGACTGATTCGAAATTGAGGAAAACATCCCAGCTTTACCCAGCGACTCACTCTCTGTGGTGGCCAGCATAATGTTAGAGTAACTTTGTACTTAATACATTCTGCAGAGAAGGGCGACCAGGTGGTTCAGTCAGTTAAACATATGACTCTTCATTTTGGCTCAGGTCATGATCTCAGGGGTATGGGATCGAGCCCTGTGTCGGGCTCCACGCTCAGTGGGGAGTCCGCTGGAGATCCTCTCTCCCTCTCCCTTTGCCCCTCCCCCTTACGTGTGCGCGCACGCTCTCTCAGATAAATAAATCTTTAAAAAAAATGAAATTCTATAGAGGGGTCATGGTGAATCAGCTAAGGGGAGGATGACCTTTTCTTCACTTCCAAGAGCGTGTAGACAGTCCCCTGGCTTAAAACAGTAACAGTAAATGCTAGATATCACCACTACACATGGTTAAATAGCATTTTCAAAATCATGCATGTTTTACATGATATGACTATTGTTCCTTTGTTTGGCTCCTCCTAGCATCACTGGGCTGCTTTTCTCATAAACGTCTACTGGTACCTTGAAATCTTCGTTGACGTGGTTTTGGGAGCCAGGCTTCCAAGCACAGCTCCAGCTCTTGCCACAGCAGGCGATTCTGTACTGTTTTAATATTTGTGATAAGCCTATATTACTTTTGTTACAAAGAGGATTGTTTTTTTAAAAAAACAAATACATAAAAATAAGCAGGAGAACAGAAAAACTTCATGAGGGCCTGTCGGGGAGGAGGCATTGTGTTACATGTTCCTTCTTTGCCCTCGGTGGGAAAGAACCTGTCCCACGTACTGGCCCAAGGAATGCTCACTGAAGGTATTCACCGCCTAGTGGTGATTTTTAAAGTTCTGTTTCACTGTAAGTTGAAATTTGTGCACCTCTGTAAAAAAAATAGAAAACTATCAGAAGTCAGTTCTTCTGACAATACAGGAATCCGCATTTACATGTTAAGAACAACCAAGAGAGATCGTTGGAAATAGCCGGGAGGGGATGGAGCTGGTGAGATGAGATGGAATATGAGGGTCTCTTCAGGGAGGTGGTTCACTTCCATCCGGAGACAAGGAGCGGCACTTAGAGCATCTTTTCAGTGCAATTGTGCCTCCACATAGCCTTTCTCTTTCCCTCCTTGACGTTACAGGAGAGACCGTGAAGTGCTTCAAAAGAGATAAAAACCTAGGGGTTCAGAAGCAGGTCGTGGAGGAGGAGAGTCCCGGGAATAGTTTTAAAGCAGAAGTACCTTTTGGTATTCGCAGCGAGAAACTGAAATAGTACTTCTTTTTTTTAATATTTATTTATTTATTTGACAGAGAGAGAGAGAGATCACAAGTAGGCAGAGAGGCAGGCAGAGAGAGAGGGCGAAGCAAGCTCCCCGCTGAGCAGAGAGCCTGATGTGGGGCTCGATCCCAGGACCCTGGGAACATGACCCAAGCCAAAGGCAGAGGTTTTAACCCACTGAGCCACCCAGGCGCCCCTGAAACAGTACTTCTCTCCCTTTGTGTCAAGATAGAAGCCTGAAACAGAAATGTCAGTCACCAAACTAGCCAGATGCCCCCGGGCCCCAAACCTAAGGATAGAAAATGATTAGAAGGCAACAATCAATTCTAGAAATAAGACTGTGGTTACACTGTGTCCAAGTTGATAAGGATTAAGGCTTAAAAAAAAGGCTTCAAGTTTACCTTAGCATCTTTAAAAATTTGCTCTACATGGAAATATATTTAGTATCTTCTTGAATGATATTATTTAATTTTAGTTTTATATTTGCATGGCATACATACATGACCCAAAGGGTCACTGTTCGAATCTGGAAGTCAGATGAGAGTTGAGTCATTTGGATTGAATATGGACCACCTAATGAGGCCCCACTGTATAAGGAGGTCCCCTAGGGCAGAGCTGACTGCTCAGGAACATCTGGAAACTTCTTAAAGTAAAAAATTCTCAGGCTGCACTCAGACTTGCTCTGCCTTAGTTCCTAAGGAATCGTGTGTGTGTGTGTGTGTGTGTGTGTGTTTAGGGATTTTAGTAGAGAGAGAGAGAGTGCACATGAGCAAGGGGAGTGGCAGAGGGAGAGCGAGAAGCAGGCTTTCCGCTGAGCAGAGAGCCCGACTTGGGACTCGATCCCAGGACCCTGAGATCATGACCTAAGCCAAAGGCAGATGCTTAACCAACTGAGCCACCCAGGTGCCCCAGGAGTTTATTTTAATGAACTCTCCTTTTGATTTGCATACACATTATGTAGTGAAACAGTAGTGAAACATGAAGGCAAATGTCCACATTTTGGTATTTGTTAATATCGTATTTAATTATCAGGATAGTGACTATATAAGGAAAAGAACAAATATCCAAAAAAGAATATTTCAATTCTATCTGATCTTTACACATGGTACACACTCTGTCTACCACAATCAGAAAATATGCTTCTGCTATAGGCTGGGAAGTGTAATAATATTAAAAGTAGCATACACAGAATTACTAATTTGACCTAAATTTCAAGGAAATCTTTTGTTTCTTACCTTGTTCATTTCGAGATACTACAACAGGCAAACAGCACACAGAATGCTATTAGGAAGAACTAGCTAAATTACATTGTCTGCACCTTGCTACTTTCCTTAAAAGTAATGAAAATGTTGGCCAGCGTTCACATGAGCTCTCATCAGATCTCCTAATTTCTTCTTCATGGCTTGTCTTTTTCCCGAAGTGGTTCAATGGAAGCTAGGAGTTGCTGAAATGTGGGACGCTTTTCTGGAAGCTAAATAAAAGAAATACCCAATGGTTTAGTTTAGGAAAGGATTAAAAATAAAATATAGAAGATATGTATACCTCAATCCTAAAGCTAGTGACTTTTTAAGTGTGGAAACACTATGGACATTTCCACTAAAGACAAAACAACTAGAGCCCTAAGAATTGGAAAAGGAACAGTAAAAGTATCTTTATTTGATGTGGTTATATGCCTGGAAAAACCGAGAGAATGAATGATAGCATCAACCCAAATGATAAGGAATTCAGCCGGAGAGCAGTATGCAAAATTAACATATAAAATCAATAACCTTCAGGTACATGTACAAGAACCAATCAGAAGACACAATGGAAGAGAAAATTCCATTTAGAATAGCAACGATATCAAAATAAAATACAAACAAAAATGTAACCCCCCAAATGAGGACAACTTTAAACACTGCTGAAAAATACAAATGTAGAAAAACATAGGAAAACGTTGTTTGTTCTTGAAGAGGACAAATCAATATCACGAAGATGTCAAATTTCCCTAGTTAAAATATAAACTAAATACAGCCTCCCCCACAAGATGAACAAGTTTGTTTCAAGCTGGACAAATTGATACTCTAGTTCACAGGTTTTTAAAGTATGCAGAAATAATAGCCAAAATGAATATAACTACACTGGAACTAAAATTTTAAAAAATTAAGAAATTAAACTCAATTTTAAAATATGTTTATAAAAATAGCTAGGAAAGGTATTAAGAAAGACGAGTAATGAGGGAGTGCGAGCCTACTTAGGATTGACACATATTATAAAGTCTCGGGGCTAGCTCATTAATAAAGAGCAGAGAGCAGAAGAGAGTCCCCAAGTAATTCCAAATACATATGGACATTTCCTATGTTAGATATTTTGGCACCATTAGATGGTATCTTGTCCCTGGGAATGACATGGTCTTCTAATGATGCTGCGGCAAGCCGGCAGTCAATTAAAAAACGAGATCTTTGGATCCATACTTCATACCATATACGATAACAAACACAAATTAGATCAGAGATCTACATGTGAGAGAATGAAGCCATAAAACTATTAGAGGAGAATCTGAGTGAATGCTATCATCATCAGGGTCTGGGGAAACCTATCGAACTTTAACTCAGTTT